CGTCGCGTCGGCGAGCTGGGCGCAACCCTGCACCGTTTGTCGGGGCTGGGGGCGAGCGCTTGGGCAAAGGCTCCGGTTTGCCACGCTCCTGCGGGCGCATGAGCTCCCAAAGCAGCAACGGGTTTGGTTTTTTGGGGGGGCGGGTGGAGGGGAATCCCTGCCTGGATGAGGAGCCAGAATAAAACAGCACTTTGTAGCGCAACCCAAATCTTCAAGGACGAAGCTGTGCTGGGGGGGAGCCGTCCCTGCTTGGCCAACACTGCTGCCCTAGTTTCAAGGTTACAGGGATGGTGTGGCTAGAGAGCGGTGCCAGGCGTACGGGTTTGGTTTTTTGGGGGGGCGGGTGGAGGGGAATCCCTGCCTGGATGAGGAGCCAGAATAAAACAGCACTTTGTAGCGCAACCCAAATCTTCAAGGACGAAGCTGTGCTGGGGGGGAGCCGTCCCTGCTTGGCCAACACTGCTGCCCTAGTTTCAAGGTTACAGGGATGGTGTGGCTAGAGAGCGGTGCCAGGCGTATTAAGGTTGGTTCATATTCAAGTCAGTCCAAAACAGGGAAACTTCCAAGTTCCCATTTTCCAGGGTTTGTGACTCTTTCTTCTCGGGATGGCTTTGGGTTGGGAAAGCCGGGTGGCACAGAAAAAGCTGCTATTTTTTTTGTGCTTTAATAACAATGCCTTTTCATGAGCCCGCCTCTGAAGGTGGCCTTTAGGACAGGGGGGAGAAAAAAAAAAACCCATAAAAGTGTTCGCTAAACAGTATCTAACAGCGATAGAGAGCTGTGCCGTGGGCCACAGGTGGCACCAAGGCTGCTAGGGCGGGTTGGGCATGGCCAACGGAGACCCGCTCAGGGGACAAACGTGCAGACCCCACGCGGAGCCCGCTTTAGTTTGGGTTAGGTCACCGTTTTATCCTTCAGGATAGCGATTAATGAGCGAAGGGGTTATACGCGGCGTGCTGTGACTGCAGAGGCCTTATCCCAGTGCAATTCCCCCCCCCTTCCTTGGCGAGGAAGACCTGGACGGTGCAAAGCCCCTTTTGCACGGAGGCGACCGCACACGACCGCACGCGTCTCCCAGCACGCACGTACTGCCTGCCCCAAAGACATGCACGAGAAGGCCTCGTCTCCAGCACCATGCCGCAGAGCCTGAGGGCACAGCACCAGCTCCGGAGTCCCTGGCTGGGAGACGCAGAAACGGCCCTCGCAAAGAGAGCTGAAGCGGGAGGAAGTTATGAAATTGAGGTCGAGAGACACGTCCCAAACCAGCTGTGAGACTAAAGGCCACACTTGGAGGACACTGGCAAGGACAAGGAAGAGGCGCCACCAGCAACGCTATGGGGGCGAGCATTTGAAGGAGAGCTTCGGATGGTCTGAATTGGCACCAAAGCCCTCGGCCTGCACATTTCTGGCTCTGGGCGACTCGCTGCTCAGCTTTTACGCCAGCCCTACGTCTAGCTCTGCGCCCGGTTTGCTGTGAAAGCAGCACCCAGGGCTTAGGCTGAAACTTTGGCAACATGAGCAAAGGGCTGCATTCGGGTCAAGTCCTGAGCCAAAGCAGCTCTGCTCTGCTCAGAGCAGGGCCAACTTGCCACAGGTAGAAAGCATTGCCATGGGGCAAGCAACCGGAGCAACCAGTGCCCTGCGAGTTCCCCTCACTTAAAAGCAAAACCTGACGCCCCCTGCCCGGGTGAACGCGGAGGAATCCAAGAGGAAGCACTCAGGCAGGAAGGCCGAAGAACCTCAGCTATTTTCACTGAACCCAGAGGACAGAGCCTGAGCGCTTAGGGCTGCAGCCAGCCCCTGGCAGGACCCAGGAGCACCCAGCTAGATAGGGATGCTCATGCGCTGCCACCCACCGCCGCCACCGCCTTGAGCAAGCCTGCGTTGTGGTTGCCCCATCCCATCAGTTACGAGGCTGCTGGAGGAGCTCTGCCCCGGGAACTCGGCGCTGATCTTTTGATCTCGTGTGGCTGCTCCAGCACCTGACTGAATTAGACAACGTCCCTGGGCGGCGAGGAGGAGAGGGCCCGCGTCCACCCAGCCTGCAAAGCCTGGCAAACAGGTTATGACGTAAGCCACCGGGGGTGGCGGCGTGGGCCCGGGCGCTCCAGTTCCCGGCTAATCAGCGCACACCCTGTACCTGGCTGCGGGAAAGCACCCTCTCTGCCACCCACCTCCCCTAAGCCACGCGTGGAGCACTGCTCAAAACACTGCTTTTCCCTTCAACAGTACGGCAGCACGCTCAGCGGGGAGGGCAGCAGCACGGGGAGGAGGCAGAAACTCCGCTATCTGATGAGGAAAAGTCTAGCAAGTAAAAAAATAATTTAGCTAGTATCTCAAAGGGGTAGAAGGCCATGCCATCACGTGAGGGATTTGTGCTGTGGTCCCAAAAAACCTGTAAGGGCAAATTAAGGTTTCCTGCCGGGCTCAGCTCTTTTCTAGGTATTTCTATCACTAAGCGCTTAGTTGCTCCCCTTTGGGCTGAGCTTTGCTCTTCTCAGGGTTGGTATGCTGTACAATGACAGCATTTGAAGTACAACACTTATTGGGAAAGGGAGACTGCTTTCTTATTCCTTGATGTGTGTTTTCCCAGTGCGGTTTGAGAGAACTAGGATTAAGCTAAAACTGGATGTGTGGAAATGCATGCAGTGTAATATCACAAAAGCCAGAGCACGATCTCAGTGTTACTGCCTGAAGCTGAAAAGATGAAAGCACATCTCAGTGTCAAAACCGTCTTTGCTTGCAAACAGCCCACCAGTTTTGCAGCCAGAACATCAGTTTCCTGCACGGACACGTTACGCAAGTCGTCAAACCACACCACACAGCAGAGCCACGGAAATAGGAACCCCCATGAGCTTCAGGGACAGCTTTGCCTAGAGGCCTGACATGCCAAGTGCTGGCAAACTTTCTTGATCTTCCTGTTGCTGGCTTGAGCACTTCCGCCTTCTTCCCCCTCATCAGGGAACGTGCTCTTGGTCACGACTCTTCCACCACCAAACCAGCATTTTGGTGGGTGACAGCTGAGGCGTCCGACAGGCAGGCCCAGGGTAAGCGGCATGCAAAAGGTATTCTTCCCTTTAAAAGTTATTTTTGACTACAACAGTGGGGCTGTATTGATTCTCCCCAAGGGAATTTGCTAGAGAACCACCTATTTACTTCCCTGGAGCAAGGACCATGGGTCAGAACCAGGTGCCTGCCAAGCTGTTTCCTATGGAGTGGAAGAGGATGAACCAGGTTTTAGCTTTGTCATGCTTAGCAGAAGAGGTATCTAGGTGATAGTAAGGCATAAGCTCCAGGCTGCAGGCAGGGTTCGTTCAAATAACCAAAGCCCCAGCGATGAGAGTTCTCCACAGGCACTTGGGAAGGTGGCTTTACACCAGATAATCCTAACCAGAGCTCAGACACAAATACTGAGGAGTGCAAGGAGCCTGAACAGTAGAAAAGGCTTCCTGCCTCCTGCTCTACACTTGCACAAGGAGCAGACTAGGGCAGCTTTAGCTGGCGTTTTGTTTCCCTCATCAGGGAAGGGGTACAAGGAAGTGATTTCTCCCAGATCCCATGCACACATCCATGCAGAGGTCTCTATGCAGAGGGCAGCAGAGAAGTCAGCCCTCTTCCCCCATCCCTACTGAGATGCCCTGTAGATTTGTCTTCCTTCCCCCCACTTCCTAAACACCCCTCCAACCTCCTGATGAAAAGCTGGCTGTTCCAAGTCCTTGCTGTCCAGAGACTGAAGGAAGCAAGCCACGGTTTGCCCTAAAGGTTACCTTTAAGGGCAAAAATTGCAATGCTCACTTCCAGGTGCACAAGAGTTAAAGTGCAAAGACTATCCTAGCGTTCCTCCGGCATAGTTTTCAAAACCATGGAGGGACAAGAAGGCATGCTATTTGTTTTAAGCATTGCTGACCTTTTAAGAGGAGACAAGATACATCCAAGCAGAGTTTATAATAGGCTTAGGGGGGGTTTTGGGCTCTCCTCTGAGGAGAAGGAGTCCTACCCCCAAGCCTGACCTTACCTTGGTAAGACCCCAAGCAAATAGAAAGGATCAGCACCCAGCCACTCCATTTGCTCTCCATGCTGTTCCTAAGATAGTCCTCAGTGGCTGGTTACTCTCCTGTACTTCTCCCAGACTGAGGAAACTTGGAACAGTCGGGAGGAGTAGTGAGAACTGACACCTACGCACACCAATTACCACACCCCTCTCCCCATGCCTTGATTATATGTAAGTCATCACTAGCCTGCAAGTGGAAGGAGGGACCACACCTGAGCAAGCACTCCCAAGCAAGCCAAAAACAGCCAGGCTTTGCTGCAGAGCCCTTGAGCCCTGCACCTGCTGCTCCAAGCAGGCTTTGCCATTCCATGCAGCTAAGGGGAGGGCAAGCCTAGGGAAGCCCTGGGCAAAGCCTAAAGCCAGGCTTCTTCATGCATGCTGAACAGCGTCCAGCGCAGTCATCACCCCCTTACAAAGTCTTAGGGGCACAGCTATTGCACACATTACTGCACATGTTCTAGACCTAACTGGTATTTGCTTAAGAGCATTTAAAAGTCTATCCCACCAGAGCAAATCAAAAGGGCAGAAGACACAGGAAAGCCATGTGAAAATGCAAGTCAGCACTGAGGCCTGATATCAAACAGCTCCAGCAAGAACTCCCTCCATCCAGTGCAGAGCAGAGCAGTTGCCACATCAAGGTGTGGCATCACAACAGGCATTGCATTCATCCAGGAAAGAGACTCATGGTGGCAATCCTTGGCAAGCCTTTGACCTGCAGCTGTGCTCTGCTCTATATAAAAGGCTTGACTGGACAGGCATGATGCAATGCAATAGCAGCTAAACAGGAATCTGAACCCCGTCACTCGGCTGCAGATTCCCGGCCTCACTCTGCCTTTACTGCAAAAAGGCATCCATAGAGGAACATGCCCTCTTCTGGCTCTGCGGCAGAGATAAGCTAACAAAATCTTTCAGCAGCTAGCACATGCCAAGGCAATAAAACACAGACTTATTGGTTTACAGAAGTTTATTGTTCATTAAAGAAGCCTTTGTGCAAAAAAATTCTTTAAAGCAACCACATATCCCCCCACACAACTCAAGCAGGTCAGGTGCAACATTCCACGGGAAGTGAGAAAACTAAAGAGATTCCCTGCATCGGCACAGGGCTTCCCCAATTCACCTTGCCCTAGAGGTTGCCAACACAAACTGTTCAATACTAAAAACCAAGAAAATTAAAACTTTGCCCACCTACAAGAGCAAGGGTCAACTCCACCCCAACCCCACAAATCCATGTCAAAGAATGCCACCCACTTTAAAAGACTGAAGACCATACTACATGGTGTGGTGTAACACCACCTGTACACCTCCAGGGCAACAATGCTGAAGAGAGCCCATTGTCTACCTAGCCTATCTACCCTGATTAGGAGACACCACTGGAACCACTGCACAAACCTGCCAAGACAGAAAGCTTCAGGTTTTACAGGGACTTTTTTTTTTAAAAGCTATGCACACTTGAGTTCTGTACAAATACAAACAGGAAAGACAAACCAGTATTGAGATCTGTCATCACTGCCCAGGCATTTAGTATGTACAAGTAATAAAAAGCTGCAGATGAGTGGTTTCGAGTTAAACGCCATGAAAATTAGTTTGCTTGTTCCTAAAGCATTATTACTAGAGCTCCCACCTCACCCAAGCCACCACACAGAGAAGCAGTTGCTGGCACCTTTTCGAATAGGACTGGAATTTCCAAAGCTCTACCTCTGCCCACTTTGTCCTTTCCAAAGGTCTTCTCAGAGCTACTTTGGGGCCTGCATTTTGGGAGTTACCTCATTCAGAATTAAGCACTTCCCACTGGTTAGAGCTACACAGTCCATGGCAAGCCACAGAACCATGACTCTTAACGCCCTCCTACACCTCAAAGGCCTGACTTGTTCCCTGGGTAACAGCCTGCCATGAGAGTCTTCCATAACCAGGCTTCTTGTTCTACGCTCAGCAACGCACAGGCATGAAGACACGCTCAGGCACCGCAAACAATTTGAGACATCATTTCTCTAGGCTTCTGTAAGCCTAGAAGTTCCCGGGCATCTTTCCACTACTCTAATAGCCAAGCTGGTACAGTAGAAGGTTTAGTAGGGGAAGAGTTAAAACTTTAGATAGAGAATCTGTGATGCACAGATAATAGAAGTTAGGGCCATTTTAGTGGGATTCTTTCTACCGCACATGCATAAAGGAGGGTCGTCAGGCACACCAGAGCTGACAAGCACTTACTACAGTACTTCAGCAAGCAGAGGCTGCTGATGGTGACTTAGATGCATTCCCATTGCTGCTTGAAAACTCCAGGAGAAAAAAAACCACTGACACTATTCAGGAGGAGCGACAGTTTAAATGCATGGCAGGAATGGAACCTGCCAGCAAGCCTTATAGCTCCTCTAAAGTTTTAGGACTGAAACATGCTATGACAGAACAACAAAAAAAGAGTGTAGTTTACAATTAAACCATTTTCCATGCATGCTGCCTTCTGTACTGAACTTTGACATATGCACAGACCCTAGTGCCTTCCCCACCCTGCCTTCATCTTTTATCAACTAGCCCTTTCAGCCTCCCTCTCCCAGGCTAGCTGCATGACTAAGCAGAATTGAACCACTAAAAGAAAAAAGGGAGCCATTCCCTAACTATGTCAACATGCCCCAAAAGTCTCTACAGGGCCCGACAGTGGAACACCCATATTTAGACCAAGTGGCCCAAGGAAAGAAAAAAGACATGATTCAAATGTTGACCAAGGGTTTCCTTAGCTATACCACCACAGGTCCTAAATGTGGTCACTCAAATGCAAATGCACTTTTTTGTGCCAGTTACTTTGAAAGTTGCTGGGCGCATAAAGTCCCCTCCCACATTTGTAAAGCTTTGAAAATTCCAGCTAAAGGGAGTCAAGGACTCAACATTACCCCTTAGAGTTCCCCTACAGTTACAGTAAGTTAGTATTCCAGAGATGTTAAAAATGCAAAGCATGTGATCTTCCAAATGCCGACTACAGAAAGACACTTGAAAATTTAGCCACTGTCTTGTTCTTTTCTTTAATTAAAAGATAATAGCCTTGTCTCATTTCACCTTTGCTGCCATTCTTCTCAGCACCTAAAAACATTTCAGCCTACCAATTAAATCTACAACACTGACTATTTTTAGGAGCATAATGAGTTAAACTGTACAATCAGAAATATCTTTAAGTGAACAATGAAGATCTGATCCTTCAACAGCAGCACTGCTACAGAAAAGTTACAATAAAGGAACTTGAAGGTCAAATTGTTAACAAGGCAGAGGAGGGATATTTCAGATGCACCTCTCTCCACCAACTCAGCCCACATTTTCAGGCGTCACAGCAAGCTTTCAAAACTGGAAATACTTCTTCTAGTTCCACACGTGACGTTTGCAGTGATCAACGGCCTAAAAGAAGAGAAATAGGATACATGAGGGGGGGAAGCCTGGTTGCAGACAGGAGTGCACCTATCTATATCACTCAACACCTTATTCTGAGCCAAGATTTTGGGGAGCAAGTCTGTGTTTGGGAGGGGGGTTGTTCTCCTTAGTCTTCTCTTGAATCTTTTGTTCTATAATGAATAATTCTTTGTTCCCAGAAGCTCCAGGGAAGAACGTTGATGACCCTTAGCCATTAAAGGCTGCACCTTGGCAAAGAAAGCAGCAGCCAACAGCAATCCTGAAAGCCCATTTTTGAAGAGCCTGATCAGAGGCCATGGCATGTTCTGTCAGCTGCTGGAACAGAAGACTAAGTATACAGCTCATTTTGTACCCCCCCGGGGATTCTGAAGTGCTGGCAGAGGGGCAGGGAATAGAAATAAAAGGGAGAGGAAGCAGTCTGCTCTAAGAAAGCTAAAGCCTAGGAAAGCACCTCTAATCAAACTCAGCTAGTCACCTCTAGCTAGTACTCACTTGCTTTTTGAGAGTAGAATTCACCTACTTAAGAGTGTGCTAGAGAAGCCATAAACATCTGTGAGGTGGTATCAAAGGAATCGTAGGGGAGAATCGTGCTTTACTTACACTGCACTGAGCAGCAGTCTCCATGTTCTTACACCAGTAACCTGGACCCCAGACACAAGCATCTTCCCCTAGGAGAGGCTGTTTAGCTGATGCACAGACTCCTAGTTTCTGTGAAAACAGCAGCAGCAAAGTCAGTATCTTTCTATTTGCACCAAGAGACTTCAATTCCAACCTTATATCTGAGCTTCCCCCTGACCAGCTACTTCCTGAGCATGGGAACACAAGGGCAACACCAGTATCCCCAGGAGCACCCGCGACAGCATGCTCAGCTGCCCACTGCAGTCACACTTGCAACTGGACAAGCAGATTTGAAACAGTAAGCAGATGGGATGAAAAGTTAGCTTGCTACAACTGCTTTTCCATATTAAGTTTCAAGAAACAGACAGCTTCTAGAAGGGGTCCTTCTCAATGGGATTTTAACAGCTTCTCATCAGGTTCAGGGCATACTGTACCTTGATGCCGAACTTAACAGGGGATAAGCACTGACAGCTCTTTTCTTCTATCCTTGCTTGCACAAGGCTGGCAGGCAGACAGCTGCCCATTCATTATGCCTGAGGCCTTCCACAAATGAATTTACTCCAAGCCCTCAGACAGCTGATTTTTATTCCAGCAGAGTCTGCATGCTAGGCACTGTATAGCATACAGAAAAGGAGGCGAGACTGTATCTGAGCCCGTACTGAATGGAGCTAAGCGCGATACTCACAGTGCAGACAAAAGTAGGATCCATCATCTGTGCCAGGAGTTGCACAACCACCGGTTCATATTGCTCCACAAACTGAACGCACTGCAACAAATCACAGGTTGAGAGATTTCTGGTTAAAGGCTGGAGATGAGAGGAGGATACAGCCTCCTGCTATCAGGCCTATGCACTAGTACTGAAAACACTCTAAACAGAGGCTTGAGCTCTGCAAATCATGGTTAGAGTGCCAGAGTTCTTGACTCGATCACTTAGTTAGCCGATACCTGCCTGTTTGCCTGCAGGCATAACTGAGTTTGAGGCTACGCTCAGAAGGGACAAAAGAGCCAGCATTTTAGTTTGCAAAGCTTTGTCTTGGCTGATCTGAGACCACTGCCACCTTAAATAAAAGCACACTCAAGCTGGATGCAAACATCCCAAACAGGGCAGCAAAGTGGCAATGCCTCTTCAGCAGTTTTAGCACAAGTAATTACTGTTAGCTCCAGAACAGGCAGCAGCAGCATGAACTCCACCCATCAGTAACCATCAGCCCTCTAGCCGAGAGCAGCTCTGCAGTGCAGAAAGATGTGGCATTCTCAGCAGAGACTAATGGCACTGATTAATAAATGAACCACAACTAACTTATAAGCCTGCATATTGTACACCTACTAAACTAAGCAGTTGCCTCTTGCTGGTACTCAGCAGCCCCATGATAAGACCTCCAGGTAAGTCTTGACAGCTATAGCCTAGCAGGTGCTGTCTTTTGCCATCTCACTGGAATTATGCCAACATACTTCCAATTACTTTGTTAATCCCCTGAACAGACTCAGGGCTAAGAAACCCTTCAGCAGTTCCCACACACTGTTCTCAGAGGATTTCCAGGCAAACCATTACTGCCTGCAAATTAGTACAACAATTCAGTCAGCTGAGTCAAGTCCTTGACAGTCTCCATCTATTCAAAGGAATGCCACTCCCTAAACAACGGGGAATGTGAAAACCTAACCCCCTGCACCCCAAACTCCTGCCAGCCTCTAGCAGGAGAGGCTCCTTCAACTCTGAGCTGCATTAGGCTGACTATTTTTATACAAACCAGCATGAGGTAAGTGCTCTCTAGCTTTTCTAACACTCTGCAACATGTGTCATCTGTTAATCTTGTAGCCTGCCCATTTTTGACCAGAAGGCAGGCTGCCACACTGCAAGGCCCATGTGGTCATTTGACTGGCCCCCAGTCAAGCCCACCCCCTGCCTTCTCTTCTACTACACATGAGGTTTCTACCCTTTGATCCTAACTAGGAAGGACAGAAATCCTAGGAAGGATGAGGTTGCTGAACAGAGCTGAGCCTCAGCTCACCTGCAGCCAGTTTGTCTCCAGCCACAGAGCCCTTTCATCCTGCAAAGGACAATATGGTAGAGACCAAAGCCGTCAGCCAAATAGAGACCCCTGTTATGAACCTCTGAACATTCATAGCAGAAGTAAATACACTTTAGAGAATGATTATGTACACAGAACATCAGGTGGAACGCTAGAGAACACAGAGGTAAGCATAACCGCCACTGTCAGATCTATATACCTCAAACAGGCACAGCTCCAGATGATCAAGAGATAATACTGCTTGTTAGCCTGCCCTCTGCACAGGCACTTTACCTGGTCACTGACAGATTCCGGTAGGAAGTGACAGACTTTGTCCAGCAATGCCTCAATTTCAGCTGAGGTGGCATTCTTCTCCAGCTCTTTGTCTGCATAAGCTACCACCATCTTGCACACGTCACAGAAGCCACCTGCAGGTTTCACTAAAACTGAAAAGAAAAAGTTAACACTAGTGTAGTTTCCCCAAACGAAAGAAAGGGGGCCACCTCAAGCCAAACAGACTAAAGCATGGGTCCTTGAAAAAGGATCACAGGGAAACTAGGCCATTTTGCAACAGTGCCGATTTCTCATTACCAACCTGGCTGAGGAGGCTTGTTGGTTGCACAGCACTTCAGCATAATGCACACAGTTTCTGGATTTGTTGCTTCCAAGAGCATGTCAATCACAGCCTGGCCATAGACGTCTATGAAGTCCTTGCACTGGTCCTTGACACTTGCTGGGAACAGGTAACAGATCACTTCCATTTCATGTACAATCTCCTCCTGGAACATAATGAAGGAGGCATAGTAAATGAGGAAGCAGAAATCCAGTAACTCAATTCATACGTACGTTCGCTTACTCATTTGTCCTGCGCAAGGAGGGCAAAAGTCTTGCTCGCCTGAAAACAAGCAGGGCAAATTTCCTTCCACCTCCAAAGCAGCAATAACACAGCACCATTCTAGCCAAAGCTCTGAAAGAGTTACTGTTTGCACCTCTTACACACCTCTGTCTTGTTGCTCTCCAACAGGCCAGTCACTTCCTTCACCATGGTCTCACATATTTCACACAAAGAAAATGTTTTCTCTTGAACCGATGTCTTCTAAATATTAGAGAATAAAGACAGTGTTCATACAAAACAGTAATTCCACTCCTGACCACATCTGACACAAACAACTAAGTTTCTAACAGCATCCACATTCTGATGCAGCATGACCTCTCACTTACCCAACTAGCCAGTTTATGATCTAATTCAAAAAGATCAGAAGCCAAAAGCCTCAAAGGTCTCAGGAAAATACCTTTGTTAATGAGCAGTATTTTGTACAGTTAAGACTACAGTCTCCTGGCCCGTTAAGGAGAGGAGCTGAATCCTGTAGACAAGGAGAAGCAAGCATCCTCAGTGGCTAAAGCGAAGGGAAGTATGAAGTGTTTTTTGAAGTGCTCTTTTTTTGGGCTTTTTCTTTAACACTAGTTGAAGACTAAATTAGAATTGGGAGTTTCCTCCTGCTTGCACAAGGGAAGCCTAGAAACAGAGAGAATCGAGGGAGGTTCCATTCAGAGCCTGTTAAGCAGAAGTTAGAACTGTCCTCAAAAAAAGGCTTTTCTTTCGAAAAACTTGGCACACTTCTCAACCCAAAGGCCGTGGGAAGCTAAGGTGCTTTGTCCATACTCGGAGCTCCGGAGCTCCAACTCTGGCCACTCATCTATGCGTGCGTTGCTGTCCCATTTTTCAAAGGGCTTGAAGGATCACTCCGAATACTGAGCAAAACCGAAATTCAACAAGCTTTGCCCTGTGATGTTTCAGGTGCCATTTAAAAGGTTCTAGCACTGAAGTATAGCAGGCAAGAGTTCCATTTTACTCCTGAAGTAACACCTTACAGCATTGGTTTGGCATAACCCCTGCTATTCTAACAAATCAGTCAGCCCTTCTACCTCACCAAGGAGCCTCAGGAAGAGACCCGGATTTTGTGGGGGGGGGGAGATCTGGGTTATTCTACACACTCAAGTCTATTTTTCTGCTTCCTCAAATTTAGTACAGCAAAGCAGTAAGGACCACAAAGCCGTTGAGAGTATTAAAAAGGCCACCTTACCTCCACAGTTTCCATTTTTACTTCATGAACCACTTGAGCCGGCACTAGCGTCTGAAGAGGGACAGATTTCAAGGAAGGACAGAACCCAACCATGGCACAAATGTCCTTTGGTTGCTGGAAAAAAAAAAAAAAACATATAATCAGTTAAAAAGTCTACAAGACTCTCTGCCCTTTCTATGGGGCCTGTGGGAGGGCAAAGAGAATAGAGACAATAGCTTTAAAAGGCTCCAGTCACAACCTATGTTTCCAGACTACTTCCATTTCAAGTATTGTAGAAGCATTCGATATGGTTATACCTAAATGGTTATCAGCAGAACAGCTACTAGACGAAACTTCCAGTTTCATTAAGCAACTTTAGGGAAAGGTTAGGCCACATCCATTAAAAATCCACTGTGAGCTAGCACAGGATGAAAGCCCTTCACAAAGGAGTTGACTTAAAAACCACCAACACCAGACAGGCCGCCGCCGCCACCACATCAGACCTGAATCCAGGAAGCTACTCCCCCCAAAGCCTTAAGTTATCATATAGAAGAGGCTAGTTATCCTGACTTCAGAGTCCACCCGAGAACTAAAAGAAACACCTAGAAGAGATTTCTCATCCACAGGCTACCTTCTCTAAAGCATGCAATAAGGTCACTTTTATGCAATCAGTAGCATACATCCCTGCATAATTACTGATCACAGCCTATTAAAAAAACAGAAGTTAACCCTCTTAAGACCTAACCCTACAGGGGCCCCCTCTACAAGGGTTTAGAGCATAGTAGTATTTGAGGGTTCTCACAGAGAAGAGGGAAAGCAGCAAAACAAAGCCTTTGAAAGGGCTTTTGGAATAAAGGCAGACTACTGTGAGAGGCCACATCATACCTGCACAAAATAAGACCGTACAGACAAATACAAAACTTGAGTCTCCCCTCAGAAAGGCCATTTAAACTATGAGTTACTGTCAGTCCTACAGACAAAAGATCACACCCCACCCTACCACCAGGGCATCAAGCTGCATACAACAGAGGCTTATGCGTTTGTCATGCCATAACCTCATGCGCAGGCAAAAGCGGCATCTCTACAATACAGCGCTGCTTCAGACTACTCCAGGCAGTATCTTTAAGTCAAGCCCTTTGGTTCATGCATTGTAATAAGCATTTCCAGATATTAATGCTACAGCAACACCACACACACACACGTTCTCTCAGAGAGATGACAGACACAAGGTCCCCCAGGACTGCTTACATTTAAAGCCTGAATAGCTCTAGGAAGCAGGAGTCTAAAGGCCTCCATCCTCTTTAATTCATATACTCTGCACATCTATACCACTAACCTAGTTTTAAAGTTCACCCAACAGAAGAGCCAGGGACAGCTTCACTCAGGCCCCTTTGACCCCAAACTTAAAACCAGAAGCTGACAGGAGCCACTGGCAGGCATTTTCCACACCTTTCTTGCATGTGATACTAAGTGTTTCTCCTGCTCCACTGGCCAAGCCATAGTCAAGCTTAAATCTTAGTATCCCACAAACTGATGTGGGGAGCTGGAATTAGGACTGATCCACTGAAGGAAGTCTCTTGTTCTCTCCCTATTTTAACTGCATAAATATCCCTTGTATCTGTCAAAACTGAGTACAATCACACCATGTACGCAACTAATAGCAAGTGAACTACAAGCCCTTTAACAGAAAAGCAGGGGATCACCACAGGCAAGTCGTTCACCTACCTGATCCTTCTGTTGACAGAGGAGAGTGGAGACAGAAAGACAGGAGAAATTAAAGATAAGTTAAGAAAAAGGCATTCAAACTGCATATATTCTTTCCATGAGGACGGAATATGATGCGGTCCCCACCCCAAAGATCCACAACTTAAACTTTGGAACACTAGAGCAGCTCATCACATTTAACAGCACAGTGCTTACCAGCATGATTCATTTCAAGCCACTAAAGCATCCTGGCTTTGTCTGCCTCCCAAGAGTTCCAAGGACACTCAGCCAGATGCAAGGTATGGTCTTATTCCACTGCTATCTTCAATATCAGAAACTAACTCTTGCTGGAACGAAGATGCACATTCCCTCCCCAACTGCATAAGAATAGATTTCCTTAAGTAGCCTTTAAGAACTGAAGACAAAGGCCACTTGCCAAATTCAGGCAAATCAGAGAAAATAGTTCAAGCCCTGTACATACAGTTTGAGGCAAGCGTTCAAGTCAGTCATGCAAGCTCACCAATAAGTTGCTACATTACTTGGGAAAACTCAGAACTGCATGCTTTAAGGAAAAAGCTGACCCTTTTCATAAAGGGCTTTGAGATCTCTGGATAAAAAGGCACTGTGGAAGCGGTCAGAGGCAAAATGCACTTATATTGCTGCACAAGACCAAAACTGGTACTACTCGCTTGCCACTGCTTCTACCAAAAGGCCAGGAAGCAGCAGACTTGAGTTAGCAGTCCCAGGGACGTGAGGTTCAGGCCGACTTCCAAACTACCACGTTATCTCTAACACTTACTTGGGCCAAATTCACTATGACAAAGACCAACTCTAACATGCTTAGACAGTATTTTGGGGATAAGTGTGAATTACATACAGGACTGAGAAAAAAGTATAGAAGAACATACATTCTTTTACTGTGTCTTAAAGGACTAGAGAGTCTTTTGCACTATTAAAGTGGTTGTGAAAGAAGAAAAGTGCTAAAGAACACATCCCGAGACCAAATATATCTGATTAAACACCAAGACCACACCCAGACTTTTACTGGGAAAATAGGTGCTCATGTCCAAAGAGGTTAGCTACCCAAAGCAGAACAGTGAACCGACAGCAAACATTCTGCTGTTCTTACCATGTGCATCATCATCTGAATGGCCAAGTCAGAATATTCAGAGATATAATTCTTGCACTGCAGGAAGGGGGGGAAAAGAAAAACATCGCTGTAAAATATCAAGCCACTTCAGCTGTATGGTTAAAGTTTTCCTTATACTTTTCAAAGCGTTAATTTGCCTGCCCTGCTAAATAACTACACTGTTGCCTTCCAGGGCTTGCCCCAAACATAATACGGCATTTCATGTTACTCAAGCATTGCACACGTGAGCAGCTTATCTCATGAGTGTCTCTCCCTCTCAGTGCACTCCCCCTCTGATATTACATTATCTTGGCAGGTCATTTTTATGACAGAGGCCTTTAAGGGCTAGGGGCAACCAAGTTTTTCTTCTTCCCCACACTCATTCTTTCCCATCTCCCCCTGTTACTTTTTTGACCAGATAGCATTGAGCCATTATACTGTGCAACATATCCTAGACATTACACATTCTCCTTTGCTTTATTAAATAGAAATTACGTTGAGAGGACTAAGGCACAAGCTATTTTCTGTTCCTACACAGGGATAGATCTGTAACAGAAGATAGCTTACCATATCAGACATTCCAGGTCCCAAACGGTCACACTCATCCTTGGCATGAGCCACTAAAGACTTCACAAAAGATGAGTTTGTCCTCACAGCTTCTTGAAGATCAGTAACTAGCTGAATGCAGTCTTTGCATACATCTCCAGTCACCTGGGGAAAGAATGAAAGGAAACAAATTGGGGGGAAAAAAATTTCTGCACACTCCATTTGGAAGCACCAGTTCCTACTAAGTTTTAAAAATCTATTTTAGCTAAATAAACACTTTCATAAATACATAGAGGAGGCTTAAAAGTCTGAGCTAATATTTAAAGAAACAAGCTACTGGTACATGCTGGTATGCACACCAGCCACTAGATGGTGATGAGGTACCTACTCACCTCTAAAACCAGAGATAACTAAGATACCAAACCTTCAGAATTCTTTTTTCTTTTTTTAATTAAAAAAAGAGGCCACAAGAGGAAGCTTCCATCTGTTCAAGGCAGGTAGTATTCTCTACCTGCTCAACCATTTCACATCCAGACCCAAGCTCATTATCAAGACTCAATCTATACATACAGGTTCACTGTCTCATCTACTCCCCTCTGTCAGCTATTCAGTTCTTTTCCCATCCAGTTTGTCACCTCTGGATTCAGAGGCAAATGCTTCCTCTGAAGGACCTAGCCAAGAGATTAATTAGGATGCAGAAGAATTCTCTCTCCTCTGAGGGCTGATGCTAAAGTCACTCTTGAAAGAGACTGCTTCCAGTAAGACCTGCTTGACTACCACAGTTGTGGATAGGAACCTACCAGCACAAGGCTCATCTTAATAAACCAGTTAACTCAAGGTTACGTCTACAGTTTATAGCAACTGCAGCTATTGTCTTATTTATCTTTAAACACACAGGCTAGGAAAAAGGTAGCAGTCTATATACAGCAGCACAAAATTCACTGTGGGACAGTCAAAGTGAAACACATTGGCTTAATCTGAGCCCAGTAAGACAATCCCTTACCAAAAACCGTTAATAAGCTGTTACGCAAAGGAGCACTAAAGCTCCGCAATGGAAACATCCACTTCCTCATGCACTAACACCACTGCACCCTCACCTTAGACTCTTGCTTGGGTTTGTCCTGAGGGTAAAGGAGAAGAGGCACGTTAGCCATGAACGGAGAAGCCAGTTCAGAGAAGTCCAGCTCTGGTATCTTATTGGACTGGAGCTGCTTCTGAAGTTTCATTGCTGCAAGGTGCTTCTGAAGGGACTGGCACAATGAAAGGGCACTGCATACTACTTCAGGTTTATCCTAAAAATAGGAGATGCATAAAGCTCTAAATAGATGGCATTTTTATATGAAGTTTAGAGTAGAGATAAGGCTTAAAACACATCGACAGGAAGCAAGTAGTCTTCAAATTTAAACTGGTTTCCTCAGAATCCCCAGTGTTCACCTCCATGGAACATTAAGAGCACTTTGAAATATCTACTGCAGCAACTTTCAGAAACCTAAAGCAGTTCTTTTGCAATTCCACAGGTTTATCTACAGTACTAAACCATTGTTCTTTCTCTGTGAGCCAAGAAAAGAGGACAGACAGAGCCCATGGATCCTCCGCTTGTAAACTAAAGGCAAGTCTCTGTATAGTAGCTCAAAAGACTTGACAAATTTATTGCAACACTAGTTATCAATACAGGATAAAGGAGCATATGTAGTCTTACTTGGAAGAGAAAGTGCCATCAACAGGGGCACAGCTTCCAACAACTTACAAGCGTTGCAGTTATCTACTTACTAGCTCTTCTTTGATCATATCCATGATAACTGGTAGGTAGGAATCCACAATTTCTTTGCACTCAGAGACAAGGCCTTGGTCAGGAAGAAACTCACATGTCTTCTCCAAGTAAGAACGGATCTCTTCCTGTAAGAGACAGCAGGTCATAGATAATATATACCTCAAAAGAGCTCTTTCTATTCTCAAAAGGCATGACAAAGCCCAAAAAAGCCCCTGGGCTCAGGTAGGTCAAGACAGTCAGCAAACAAAACCAGAACGAGGTTTCACATCTAGGTCTATTTCCTCTAGTCCTGGACCTTCAGCGAGACATTGCCAAAGTGAAAGCAAGAAACTTCTGGCAAGGCCTGAACAAAGTCCTACTTGCATATACTACTTAAACGCAAGAGGAGGAAGTGAAATTACGGACGCCTGGGACAAACACTGATTTGTGTACACCAAGCGCTCTGGGTTCACAACAGAACAAGGGGAGAAGTCATGCAACGAAAATAGAATCCACTTAATATTATGTAATCATCCCCTTCTAGAGACTGAAGCATCCTGCCTCCTAAGAAGGATGGCCCCCTGGCACAAGAACAATCCAATTAACATCTAATCACAGATGTGTTACAGATGGAAAGCTCTAGAATTCACTAATCTAGACTAGAATAGGATAAAGCTTTTAAACACAGCCTATGCATTTCAGCTCCTTTCAACACTCACTGTTTACATTAGGTAAACATGGTGGAGACTACTCTTCTACCCCCTCTGCTTGAGATCTTATGACAAGAAAGCCAACTACCGCCTTCGAGCACAGAAAAGGGGACTCCGCTTACCTCTGTGCCATTGTCCTTCAAAACCTTGCCAGCCACTGTTACAAGTTCTTTACACAAGTCACAGGGGATACTGTTCTAGGGAGAGAAGTAGAAGGTTACTCTCAGACAGGATTAAGTGCATCTGAATGTAGCATCCAAATAAGAAAGCACAGAATGAGGATCACTAAGAAATAAAGCGAAAGAAGAAATATTGGCTGAAGTTGCAGGAGGGAAGGGAGGAGGCTACTTCAGACATGCCCACCTCCAATTTCTTTGGTAAATCAACACAAAATGAGAAACCAGGCATGCTACCACTTGCTTCTTTCACCTAAACCCACACCTGCAGCAAAGTTTAACAGCTTGTCACGTGCAACCTGAAGTATATTGTCCTGAGGAGCTTCTCCTGAAGCTTCACCTTGCTCTTTGAAGTGCCCAGGTTTCCAAAATTCTGGGACATAATTAAGAAAAAAGCCTATGAATCAGATTCAAGTGTTTTGCTGCAAAGTGGAACTTGCAGCAGAGTACAGATTTCAAACTTGCAGTCTAAGAGAGGACTGGACACAGCTTCCCCTCTAAAAGCACCAGAAATTGAAAAGTTCCTACGCTTCCAGTATGTTGTGAACTTGGATAACAATTTCAGGCATTTTAACTGCGCTCTGCCAATCTAACATTAGTTCCTTCTCTCTAGACAGAGACGCAGCAAAGTTGATTGCATCCATTAAAACATTCTCCCTAGAAGTTGTGAAGCCATACAGCAAGCGACAGCTACCTCCAGTAAAGCAGCACTCACATTTAGTACAAGCGTGATTTGAAAGCACTGTTAAATGCTATGTTTATGCTCTCATTTATTATTCATGACTTAGCATATGCTGTATCTTGTGGAACACTAACTCATGGAAAAGACTAAAGATACTTTAAAAAACATATCTTTATTGTAGTAAATCTACTAGTGTGGTGTGGCTCAGTTTAAGACTAAAGAAGGTTCTATGAATTAGGAGTCTTTCAGAGGATTGACTCTGAAAGCCACTAGCTCCATTCCACATACTGCTCAGCGATCACAAAACAGGTCATAGGAGCAGTCAGCAGACAAGCTGTGCAAGGTAAAGAAAGTGGAAAGCAAGCTTTAGCACCTAAATTAAGGCACAGTAACCAAGGTGCATTCAGACATAGCCTGATCAGAGCCTTGGAAATCTTCATTAGCATATGGAAACCAGCTACCCAAACTACAGATGCTTCAGTAGTTGATACTTACTGCAGTAGGCTTGCTCCAAACAGTCTGCTGACAGTGTTTCACAGCTCCACATTGTGATGCTGTCCGAAGACTCTGACACCACACCTCAGGACCCTTCACGCAGTCCTTCTGCCACAAAAGGGGGCTTGCCACAGCTGCCAAAGGAAAAAAAATTCCTTCAACCACACATTGGAATGATTCCCATTCCAAACAGAGTAATGCAACATGGCACAACCATTGCCTTTCTGTTATGCCACTGAGGTTTACTGACATAAAGCACATTTCAATCCAGCAATTTCTACCCCAAAATGTTAGCACAAGTCCTAAACATAGAGGACATAACCACAGAACTCCAGAAAAATGAAACAGCTGAACTTTCCTACAGAAGTGCCTGAGTCTCACCACCTCAGCAGTGCATACCCGCACCACCTACCTCTTGCAAAACAGTAGGCTTAGCACAGAGAACTCATGCTACCAGATGTCTTGAAACAGAGAAGCTGCTCCCTGCAGAAGTCCATGCTTCAGAGCGCCGATTTCCTGAAGATGCAACACCCCTGGTCTTGCCCTACTGTCCTTGCAGTCACTCCACCTCTGAACCAGCAGTCACACCTAGCTTGGCAGAGTCATCTGCATGCCCTCTTCTAGCTGATCCATCCTTTTGCTCTCTCAGGTGATGTGTGAGGAAACTAATTTGATTACAAGCCCCAACACATTGCATGAAGTGCATAAGCACCACATCTAGATTGAAGCAGTTTGTAAACAGTCTCAAGAAAGTCACAGCAAAAGAGGGGCAGAAAGCTAAGTGAGAGATTTTACCAAATACTTTTTAAAGCAGTTTAAATATATTTAGACTGTTTCCTCTTGGTTAATTCTTCAGCTGCGTACAGAGAGACTGGGACATAAGCAGAGAGCAAGCTCTTGTTTTTGTCAGCAGCAGTCTCCTGCTGTTAGATCCTTAATACCAAATTACCTAGTGTTATTTGAGCATGCTATTCATTCATGCAAGACCTCTTAAAGACAGGTTATTCAAGTACACCAGAAGGATCACTTTCCTTTGAAAGCCACTTATGAACACAGATGCCTACCTCTAGAACGTTTTATTGCCTTATATCCCCTTTTCCTTCAAAAGGCTGAGAAGGCACAAGGCTGGCATTACCTTAAAAAGCTGTCAAAATTCACAAAACCTCTGTGCATTCTTCTCAATGGCCAAGCCTTAGTCTCCTTTTATAAACCCTCCAGCTTTCAACCTCTGTCTTCTGGCACCTCTGCTCCAACACAATAGGAAGGTTTACTTACTACTCCACAAGAGTTGCAAGATTAAGTCAGCCATATCCTCCAGAGAGGCTGGCTCCAGGAGAATTTAACATGCAAGACACCTCGATTACCTCCCACACCAAGTCGCCTTGCACCTAATGAAGCTTAGAAGTGAAAAACAAAACACTACTCATGGACAGCCTTCCCAAGAAAGCTTGAAAGATCTGCACTATTAGTGATAGAACAAGTCAAAGCCAGGGTTTTTTGGTGCTAGTTCACAAACGCCCCTGGAAAAGAAACCCAGCTTTCTCCAATTTTTAAAGTCATTTTGTCAGTGAGTAAGCAGAGTTTCTTCAGCAGTCTCCTAAGGTTGCCCTGACCTATGAAAAAACAACCTACCATCCAGTAAGCAGAGACACACCTCACAAATCCTACAGCAGAGAGGCTCAAACGAAGTCTGCTGCGGTCTATGAAGCACTGCTGTCAAAGTTAAGGCTTTTGCCTGCTCAAATTTTGCCAGTTGTTTAGCTGCCATTTAGGAACCATTATTTGATGATATCAATGCTGTTGACACATCTCAAGGCTGTCAAACTACGTTACCTTACTTCAGAAGCAAGAATTAACCCCACTAGAAACCTCATGGGAATCAAACAGCTTATGACAGAGGAATAATCACTTCTCTAATCCCCCCATCTTGGTTCTAAGTGATTAGAGTATCAATTTAATGGCTAAATTAACAGTGCATCTACTAGGCAGAGAGAGAGACAGATAAACACAGGTTAATAGATGTAGATTCCATAGTCTTTTCAGCTGTTGAGTTTTAAGGCCTGTTAACACTGAAGGTCAATAAATGACCCACTCCTTTTAAGAAAGCATGCTTTGCAAACTTATTCTGCACAAAAGCAAGTTTGCCACCCGCCCTCTCTCCCAGAGAAAAACTAGATCAAGTATTATTCTTCAGCAAGGCATCACACTAGGACTGCTTTTAAGACCATACGAGTCAAACCTCAAAGTGTTTGAGTGCATGGTCAGCAAAATATTTATAGATGGCCTACTCTAACTTAGAGTATTTTCCCCAGAAGCAGCAAGAACTGAAAAGCGAAATTTCAAAGTCAGACTTAAATCTACTGGTCAGCCAGATAGCTGTCATCTCTGGCAAGACAACAATAAGCATACACTCCCAAGTGAAGAAAAGTTTTCTCCTATGCAGATGCTGGTATTGGAACAATGGTAAGAAGCTCCTTAAGGCAGAGTCAAAGTCTGGCTCACCCTAACTAGTTAGAAACCCATAATTCCCCCGTTGAAAAGGTACAGCCAGTAACCCATGGTTTTAGTTCTGGAAATCAAAAGGAAATTTACCCATCCTCTCCAGTTTGAAACTTACTATAAAACAAGACTCCTGAAAAGTTGGATCAACAGGTTAACTGCTTGATACAGCAGGCCATTAAAACAAAATCAAATCAAGGAGTTCAGAGCAACTTACATGGGTTTGATCCAACTCTTCAGTAGCTTTCCGTTCTTGTTTGGCTTTTAGGATAAATTTTAGATAGTGACAGATAATTAAGTTCCATTCCAGCTTCTGCACAGTGTCTAACAGTTAGTCCTGTTCCTTCTCCCACATCACTTCTGAGCTGGTCATTACAAACACAGGACAGAAGAAACACCATGCTTTAAGTGTGCGTTTATCAGCTTTCTTTGCTGCACATCTTTAAAACTCCACACTGCTTGGCTTCTGTATCAAACACAGGTGCTGCAACAGGGCAATCACTACCACTCCAATTTGCCAGGACACAGCAAGCAATATGGGCAGGACAGCAGAGTTTAAGGTTATTGCAACACTGAAGCAGAAGATAAGAGTGATGCAGCAGCCTGAGACCTTCTGAGGTGAAGAGTGCAGGTTGCAGATGATTCTGTTCCAGACACAGAAAGAGAAATTAGGCTTAATATTAGAAGGATTCATTTTTGTCAGTACATTAATTTATGCCTCCCATTGCCTTGTTTTCCCTGCATCAGAAGCCTCACCAGTTTGGAAGGAAAGAGCCAGTTCTCAGATACTAGAATTGACATATAGAGCCACATTCTGTGCAGGTTCTGCTCAAAGCACTGCTGCAGGCCACACAACCAGTTTCAGGTGTGAAGATAATGCCACTAGCACCATCTGCAATCCCCAACAGCTGAGTATGGCCACAAGATACTCAGAACCAGAAACCAACAGGAACCACGAAGCATGAGACACTTCAAACACATCATTTGTAAGCCAGTGAAAACCAGGTTTCAGATGCACAAAAACACCCCAAACACCACCCTACACGTATTAATTCAAATCCTCACTCCTGAATACAACAGTAGAGCAAAAGGAAGCGCTGGTATACCTCCATGGCTTTTCTGTCAAAGACGCCAACAGGTTCAAGAAACCTGACTTATGCAAAGAAGAGTACCTCATCCACAGAGAACAGGATCTTGATGAACAGAAGTATCCTTTCAGCTTTAAAGGACTCTGGGCAATTTTTCCTTCCGAGAAGAACAACTACATTTGATACTTCCATCAATATAGATCCTTCTGGTCAAATGGTAACTCAGTAAATTCATTCTTTAGGGGCACATGCCACTGGCACATTTGAGAACACAGCTAAGAACAAAGTTTACATGTACTAAGCATGGCTTCCCCCCTCCCATCCTCCGAGGACTTTTAGTTTAAGTTTGCATTGCTCTATAATACACTGAAAATATTAACAGTAACTCAACTTCTAAAATAAAAGGATGCATCTTCACTACAACATTATCCAGCTTCCCCTTCCAAGGGAAGGTCCAGAGGCAGAAACAAAGGCAAAACAACTTTGCATTAATTCAGGTTTTGCAGATTCAGCAAACAACCTTCAATCCTCACTACTTTTACTTCAGCTTGTTCTTCCATTTCATTTTGGAGACAGTATTTTTCTTTCATGTTTTAACTCATTTCACAACAGAAGGAAAGTTGCCAATGAACTGTTAAGACTGGGGGGGGTTCACAGAAGGAAGAACAGTTTGTAATTCGGAATCTTGAATTATCTTGCCTGTTCCCTCAAAACACTCTCTCCTGCAAGGAGGGTGAAGCCTCAGCACGGTATTTCACATCCCCAACACAGCAACAAGCTAAGAGAAAACAAAGCACTGTCAGTTACCTCATACAACTCTTAACACTTGCTGGATAAACCCAATGGGATTACTGTCTCAGTTGTCTCTGGCATCCCTTTATTTTATATGTTGTTCTTCACCTACTTGAGCTCATGCAAGACCTCAAGTCTTTTAAACAGATTTCCCCTTTCTCTGTAGATTAGCTCTCCAGTCACATGTCATGTCCACCCAAACCTGCCCCCCTCTCCTGAAGTTCTCAGAAGCAGCTATTTTTAGAGCACCAAACAAGTTTATCTTAAGGCCAGGGTGTTTCAGCACTCCTTTGGATTGTTTTTCCCCCTCCTTGACCTGCTTCAGAGACCTAGTTTCTTAGTTGAAAAGAAGCATTCTCCACTCCACCAAGCCTTTCCTAATATATTAAGGAGTGAAAGAAAACGGAGGAGAAAGGAGAACCAGACATGGAAATACCATCCAAGTACCCAATCAAAAGGCTTCCAGTTCTTCAACTTCCTCACCTTTCCGGCTCCCTAGCCAAGCTCATGATCCACAGCTACCCTAGGATCCTGGCACACACTTTGTTTCTTGAAACCAAAATGAGTCATAACCATCAGAGAGGACACAGTGGGTATGTCTGTTCTTGGAGACAACTACTCTTGTCTGTCAAGCACTGCTTCAGAAACACAGCCTGAAGCCTGACAACAAAATCTTCCAGCTTCTGGAGTATTTTGATAACAGTAGAATAGGAAGAGAAGCCTTTGCTTGGAGGCCCAGGTCAGCAACCTAAACCTGCTAGAACACAAGCAAAACA